TCTTTTGTTTAGGTTTTCGATTGTTTGCGTATAGTTGCGGTTACCGGATTTTCGTCGATCGCGGGTTTTCTCGAAGATTCGTGAAGCTTCGTGAAGACCTTGAGCAAGGCAAGTCACCCTTTGACCAATTGCTCCTATAATTGGAAAATCATTATTATTTTGTTTGCAACTTGCATTATTAGAATCACACACTTAACTTGCTTGGCCTCGGTTTGCATGCCAAACCGACGGACCTACCCAGTAGTCGCACTAATTTCCGTAGGTCGTACTACTCTGATTCCTTGTCGCTCCACCCTTGTGGTACCTCGATATTCGTGCTCTCTGAGCGCGTATACCAAATATCCCACATACACCGTTGTTTGTCGAAGACTTGGGAAATGGGTTTGTGAAGCCTTCAAAACCCGACATGTGGTGTCGGTGTGTTTGAAAACCAAATGAATTGTGAAAACTCGCGATGCGGGGGTTGTGCCTATGTGGCACTGTCCCGTATTCGCATATAAGGACCGATTCCTGTGGGAAACTCATCGAACATAATCAAAGTGCAACCACAAGGTGGAATGGGACACCCTGGCTAAGTAGCTAGTCGGTTCAGGGAAACCTCGCATGCCAATAGTTGGGAACGCCGGGGCGGGGTCGGTTGGAGCCAAACCGGGTTCCTGGTAATGCAAGAACGAGAAGCTTGCTGAATTACCGATCGAGGTGGTTGGAGTTTGATTTGTGAACGCCTAAAATGGCCTATGTTTATGTGAGGATTTGATCCTTCTATATGGCATGAGGTAACCCTGGGTCGGCTTGGGAAAGGCTTGGTCGCGAACCTCTGACACCGGCCAGTGTCTGGAGTAAGTTCGTGTCTTGTGGGTAAAGTGTACCCCTCTGCAGAGGTTAACTAACTGTTCGAACAGCCGTGCCCACGGTTATGGGCGGATGTGAGGTGGTTCCCGTTGCGTAGATTTGTTTGCCTGTGCTTTGTGAAAAGTTGTTGTGGTGTGGGAATCGTAACCAGAATCAGCCTATGTGGCAGATGGATGACCTGAGTGGTCAGAAACGAATCTGTGTGATTCGGGATGTCTGTGGGCATCATAGACTAGGCTTCCCGAGTGGAGGCGGATTGCTTTGCTGCTGGGCAGCTGGACTCTGGGAGTCCGAGAAAATGAAAAAGGCTCTGGGAGCCGATTAATCAAGTGGAATGGCTCTGGGAGCCGAGAAGTAATGATCTGACCCGGGAGGTCGGTACATTACCAAAGGAGCTGTTGAAAAACATCTCTTAAAGTCGAATCGAGATGCAAGTCTCTTTTCGGCCCCAAACTTAGAAAGAAATAAATCACATAGTGATTTCAAAATGTCTTCAAATAAAAGATTTGCAAAACAACCTTGCCTCTCTTCCAAGCTTGCATTAAACACCTAAGTTCCCGTGACTTGCTGAGTACGAAAGTACTCACCCTTGCTCTATATAAATATATATATATAGTTCCTCCGCCCTGAAGAGAAGATAAAGTGAAGTGAAGATTAGGGTTTCGTCCTGGTTCCCAGCCGTCGCCTGTGGTGTTGGGTGTTAGTTCGTTGGTTCCGCTGCTGCTGCTGTTGTTGGTGTTTCCTCGTCCGTGTCGTCGGTTGCATTCTCGGGTTGTTCTGAGCTGCAACCTAAGTTAAGGTAAATAAGTCCTCTATCTATTTTAAGGATTTGCAATGATTCATATTTGTCACCGTGGGTACCAGCACTATGTCCTGGGACTGGTACCGAGATCGCGGTTTCGTAGGAAGCGATTCGCGCCGTTTTTCCTACGACACGCTCCTATCAGGTGCCGTTGTGCGGCGGTGCCGGATTGGGGTGTGACATATTCTAGCAACAAATTTGTAAAGACAAAAATATACTTTTTTAATATAGCTATGTGCTAAAGACGTCTTTTTTAATATATGACGTTATTTACTTTTTAATAAACATTTGATTACTCTTCTTATTCAAAACTTTTATGTAAATATAAAAAAATTAAGCCATACTTAAATGAACATTTGACGATAAATCAAGTCACAATAGAATTTAAATGATACTACCATTATGTTGGAGCTATAAACATTATAGTTTTGTGATTAAATTGACACTAAACCTATAGTTTTGTGATAAATTGTCACCTAGGGCTGGTTTGGTTTGTGGCCTAAATTGGCCTTACCAATTTTTGTCAATGTTAAATTTTGGCAACTTTTGGCATGGCTAATTTTGGCAAAGGAAAAATTGTGTTTGGATTGAAGCCGAAATAGCCTAAATTAACTGTTGAAATGGCCTATTTTCTTAGGCATGCCAAAATTTGGCTCCAAACCAAATAGAAAATAAACACTATTAAAATTGCCAAATATTAGTAAGGCCAATATAGGCCTCAAACCAAACCCAACCCCTAATATCTATTTTTGACATTATGTTTTAAATTTTTAGCCTTTGTAAGAAATCTCATGTTAAATTTATAGTTGTGTGATAACACGATAATTCCTTAGGTCCTGTTTGTTTCAGCTTAACATTATTGTAATTTAGATTATTGAGACAGATTACTATAAGCTGGATTATAATAAGCTGACATATAATAAGTTGTTAGTTGTTTGTTTCTCTAGATTATTAGCTGGTTGTTAGGTGTTAGCAACCCAATAATCTAAAAAAAACACTTTTAGAGTGGATTACTATATTATACTAATATGTCTTATAGATTGTAATAATCTATCATAATAAGCTATATGTATGTTTCAGTTTACTCCTAAATATCCCGATTATAATAATCCTAAGCTAAAACAAACAGGGGCTTAGTTTTGCGATAATTTGATCAAAGCATATGTAGTTAAATTTACTCTTACAATATATTACAATTATACTTCACTCGCATTACAATTATGGTATAGTTACACTAATATTATGTTATAGTCACCTAAAAACTCTGGGACAGTTTTTCTTAAAGCAATTATCGTACTCCCTCCGTACTCGTAAAGGAAGTCGTTTAGGACAATGTTTAAGTCAAACCTTGGGAATATAAATAATGGGTAACTCTCAAGTTGTCGAGTTTGAAAATATAAAAAAATTATATGAATAGATTTGTCCTGAAAAATACTTTCATAAAAATATACATATATCACTTTTCAATAAATATTTTTATATAAACAAAAAGTCAAAGTTGTGTTTTGGAGACCGTGTCGCTGTCCAAAACAACTTCCTTTTCGAGTACGGAGGGAGTAATTTAATTCAATTCCCAATTTCCCATGTTGACATTGAATTTTGGGCGTCTTTATTACTCTTTGACATTGAGGTTTGGGTAGTACTCTTTAACACACCAATCGGGTTAGGGCAAGTGCTATGATATATGTGACTACCACATCTAAATTTATCTATTATATTCACTCATGAACTCAGAGGTAACCCATACTATGTATCATCTCTAGTACACAAATACCAATATACTCCCTTCGTTTTAAAATGTTTGACTACGTTGACTTTTTAGCACGTGTTTGACTGTTCGTCTTATTAAAAAAATTCGTGAAATATGTAAACCTATATGTGTACATGAAAGTATATTTAACAATGAATCAAATGATATGAAAAGAATAAATAATTACTTAATTTTTTTGAATAAGACAAATGGTCAAACACATGCTAAAAAGTCAACGGAATAAGACAAATGGTCAAACACGTGCTAAAAAGTCAACGGTGTCAAACATTTTGAAACGGAGAGAGTATCTAATACTCTCACACCCTTCTTAAAATTTGTGTGGAGGACTAGAGGTTGCCTCTTAATTTAGGGGTGGCTCATCATCTCTCTCCTCACTTCTCTCCTCCACCTCATAACTCAATCCAATGGGGTACTCTTAGAGCATCTCCAGCAGAGAACATAAACACACAGCTCTCAAACAACTTTTATTAGGAGGTAAGAGGAAAAATATAGGTCCAGTAGAACCCCTACTCAAGCCCCTACAATAGGAAGGCCCCCCAGATCTCATCCCACAGTCCTTATTTCTAGGGGCTCCGGGCACAGCCCCCATCGACGTTTCTTCAGCATGAGAGGAATTTTTGCTTCGCGCGCGTGCATCTCCTCCCCCCTCAGGCTGCCCTGATATCCAAACTCTGATTTGCTCGCACATATACTCTGTATGTACGCATTGCAGATAGAAAAGTGCAGCACATTTGAACATTGTTTACTTCCAAATTTATATATAGTTTTGAACATTCTGCAAGCGTCCGTTTATCTGAATGCAATTAGAAAAGAACGTGGTTGATTTTCTGAACATTTTGTAAGTAAAGATTTTCTGAATGCATGTGCTCTGATGGAAGTTGTTTGCATTGCTAGCTGATATACTCCCTCCGTCTCAAAAAAAAAAACAAACCCTGTTTTCCGTGTCCAACGTTTGACCGTGCGTTTTATTTGAAAAAATTATGAAAAAAAATTAAAAAGACAAGTCATGCATAAAATATTAATCATGTTTTATCATCTAACAACAATGAAAATACGAATTATAAAAAATTTTTATATAAGTTGCCTTTTTTTTTTGGACGGAGGGAGTATGTGCTCTGCTCTGTACTTTGCTTTTGGTTGGTACTTGGTAGTACCTTGTGTCAGGCAGGAACAAAACAAAGGGCATTGCTATTGCTGAACATTGTTCGTGGAATGAATTTTGCATCATTGGGCTGCATTTTTTTCCTGTGGATTCTGATGATGATAATGATAATATAAATATGACATCTCTACTCAGAATTATTGTGTTTCTGCATTTTCTCAATGCTTCCCCGTGTTTGAAAATATGAATTTGAATATGGTATTTCTATGTGTTAAAAATATTCATGTTTGTATTAATGTGATACTAAACTAGGTGTAAATATAAATTTGTACGTTGACATAAAAGAGAAAAATAAATAGGGTCTAAGAAATAAGAATTGTTGCTGGAGTTGAAGGCATTTTTAAAGTCCTAAGGAAACGAAGACAGACCCTATTTAGCTTTTAAGGGCTTTAAAATGGGGATGCTCTCGGAGGCATCATATGGGACATTAGGGTCCCATCGGTTTATTATCCAACTGCCAAATTATCCACTATCTTACGAAATTTCTTTTCAAGGTTACACTGTTTCCGCTCAAAATTCAAGTCCAGCCTCAAGAGATACGGAGGATATCATGCTTGCGCCATCAAAATTCCTCTTCCTCGATCTCACCTCACCTGTGCGTAGAGACTAGAGAGAGGAGAGGAGACGGATGGACTTGCGCTGCACATAACCAACTGGTTCTTGCTTCCACGCTTGCTCCACTCCCCACTCCCCGTGGAGTCGCGCGGTTTCCCCCCGCTTCCACGCAATTTTTTTTTCTTTAATGAGATTAGTATAATCTGCTTGATTCGTCCAAGACTATCGGGAGCTTGCGCTTATTAGCTTCTTCTTTTCATTCCGATTTGGTGGGGTTTGAGTTTGATTGATTCTTTCCCCCCACGTTTCCTTGTTCTTGATGTGTATCGATTCGAGGGTGAGATCAAAGTATCAAACCATACGATTCTTGGGGTATTTGGGTTGTTTTAGCTTCTGATGATTTCTTGATCTGGAAGCTTGCGCGATCTCACAATCCGAATCTTTTAGCTCGGATTGCGTGTCTACAAGGCTCCATTGATCCGTTGTTTGGTTGCATCATCAGGATCACTTTTTTCCTTCTAAGTTCTACACTCCAAGGGTCGATACGAATTGGGGATTCTGCAGTTGTTTCTGCTCAAAATTTCAGTCTCTTTGGATATCAAAAGCTCAATTCAAGGTCAGAGTTTGGGAATTTTCCCAGTTTTTGACTTGTCAAGCTCAATCAAGATCGCCAATGGATTTGTCCGGGGAAGCAAGCCTCGGGGGATTCAAGATCGGGCCATCGACGCTCGTCGGCCGCGGGGTAGCCATCCGCGTGCTCCTCCTCAGCTCGCTGTGGCGCCTGCGCGAGCGCGCCTACGCCGCCGCCTCGCGCGTGCGCGGCGCGGCGCTTCCGGTGGTCGCGCCCTGGCTCCACCTCAGGAACACCCATGGCATCCTCCTCGTGGTTGTCCTCTTCGCGCTGTTCCTGAGGCGGCTCTCTGGCGCGCGGTCGCGGGCGGCGCTGGCGCGCCGGCGGTTGCAGTGCAAGAAGGCGATGAGGTACGCGGCGAGCTACGAGGAGTGGGCGCGCGCCGCCAAGGTGCTCGACAAAATGTCTGAGCAGGTCAGTGAGAGCGATTTCTACGACGAGGAGCTCATCAGGAACAGGCTGGAGGAGCTCCGAAGGCGGAGGGAGGAAGGGTCGCTCCGGGATGTGGTGTTCTGCATGCGTGGTGATCTTGTGAGGAATTTGGGGAACATGTGCAATCCCGAGCTTCATAAGGGCAGGCTTGAGGTAATTAGCAAACCTTCTCTTGTACTAGTTCATGCTATTATATTAGTGTAATATTTTACATCGAGGTTTATATGTCTGATCCCTCTTTATCATAGATATGCATATTTAGTCATTCTATGATGATTGCCCTGGAGACATTTGTGCTTCTTATTTGGTCAGGTTCTGAAATTGCGCGCAAATGGCATGTACATATTCAGTCATACCAGGGATAATTATCTTGAATATGCTTGTGCATCTTATTTGATCAAATATTATATAATTGATGTAGCTCATTTTTTTTCCCTTGTAGTATGTGTTCCTAAAATGTTTCCACAGCTCTCACTATTTGTTTCGGTATTGCACACATAAAAGGATTGCTTGCTGTCAACTGGGATTTTCGCACTCCCTATCATGAAATGTTAAAATACTCCTTTCCATTCTGTCTAAAAAAAATGATTTGTTGTAATGCAGGTTCCTAAGCTTATAAAAGATTACATTGATGAGGTTTCTGCCCAGCTGAAAATGGTATGTGAATCTGATACCGATGATTTGCTTTTGGAAGAGAAACTTGCCTTTGTTCAAGAGACCAGGCATGCCTTTGGGAGGACAGCATTACTCTTAAGTGGGGGTGCTTCACTGGGATCTTTTCATGTAGGTGTAGTGAAAACACTGGTTGAGCACAAGCTTTTGCCTCGAATAGTTGCAGGATCTAGTGTTGGTTCCATTATATGTTCAATTGTTGCGACCCGAACATGGCCTGAGATCCAGAGCTTCTTTGTAGACTCATTGCAGACCTTGCAGTTCTTTGATAGGATAGGTGGAATTTTTGCAGTAACAAAACGGGTTATGACTTATGGTGCACTCCATGACATTAGCCAGATGCAAAGGCTTTTGAGGGATCTGACAGGCAACTTAACATTTCAAGAGGCTTATGACATGACTGGCCGTGTTCTTGGCGTCACAGTTTGCTCTCCTAGAAAAAATGAGCCACCCCGCTGCCTCAACTACCTGACATCACCACATGTTGTTATTTGGAGTGCCGTGACTGCCTCTTGTGCATTTCCTGGGCTCTTCGAAGCTCAGGAATTGATGGCAAAGAATAGATTTGGTGAGATAGTTCCCTTCCACGCACCCTTTTCCACAGACCCAGAGCAAGGTCCTGGAGCATCAAAGCGTCGGTGGAGGGATGGAAGTTTGGAGATGGATCTGCCCATGATGCAACTCAAAGAGTTGTTCAACGTAAATCACTTCATTGTGAGCCAAACTAATCCTCACATCTCTCCACTCCTCCGACTGAAGGAGATTGTCACAACCTATGGAGGTCGCTTCGCTGGAAAGGTTTGTCTAAAACCCTACCCTATGGAATAGGCACCTTAATGGCATTAGCTTCATGGCTTGTATGGCTTATCCTAGCATGCAGCCTGTAGGTAACCTTGTAGGTAGTTAATTGTTTTCATGTTCTTCGGCATTATTTCGTCAATTTTCCACATGCTGCTGCGCATGCATGATTATTCATGGAAATAATGCAATATCTGGTAGATCGAGGGTTTTATTCAGTATGCAAATAAAGTTAATTTATAAATACATATGCACCTGATTTATGTTCCCTTAACACTAGACAAAAAATTATCTTTAAAATTTAGATTCCTACTCTGCAAATGCCGTGTTATATGTTCCCAGACAAGTTCTCTTTAAAATCTTGATTCCTAAGTGCTGTGTTTAATCTCATTTGTGTAGCTTGCTCGTCTGGCTGAAATGGAGGTTAAGTACAGATGTAACCAAATCCTAGAAATTGGCCTCCCACTGGGAGGACTAGCGAAATTGTTTGCTCAGGATTGGGAGGGTGATGTCACCATGGTTATGCCGGCAACAGCAGCCCAGGTATTTTTGTCGATAAATTAATTTTTGGTTATATGGGCGAGTGCTAATTCTTTGGTCATAATTCTTTTTCTTTGCTGTATTTTCCCAATTTTCAGTACTTGAAGATTATACAAAACCCTACATATGCGGAGCTGCAAATGGCTGCCAACCAGGGGCGCAGGTGCACATGGGAGAAGATCTCTGCGATCAGAACAAACTGTGCTATTGAACTTGCGTTGGATGAGTCCATTGCCGTTCTAAACCATAAAAGAAGACTAAAGAGAAGCATGGAAAGGGTAGCTTCTGCTTCCCAGGGATATACATGCAGTTCTGTAATCAGAACACCAAGGAGGGTACCATCGTGGAGCTGCATCAGTCGAGAGAATTCTACAGGATCTCTCTCAGAAGATTGTTTTGCAACCACTAGTTCATCTACTCACCAAGGAATTCAAGTTGTTGCCACACCGAACGTTATTCATAATGATGGAAGTGAGAGTGAATCAGAAACCATTGACTTAAATTCTTGGACCCGGAGTGGTGGACCTCTAATGAGGACTTCATCAGCTGACATGTTCATCAATTTCATTCAGAATCTTGAGATAGAGTCTGAGTTCAATACAGGTAATTCATCAGGATCTACCGTTTCTAAAGATTCATGCCCAAACAATAATTCTGGAGTTACTGCACAAGGTACAGATAGAAGCACAGACACATCTGAAACTGGTTCATGCAATACTGGCAACAATATAGCTAGTCAACCCTCTACCTCTACAAGCATTGCTGTTTCTGAAGGAGAACTGCTGCAACCAGAAAGGAGTACTAACGGAATTCTAATTAATGTTGTCAAAAGAAAGAGTGTGTTTGGTGAGCATGAAAGCGAAGCTGAAACCGAATCATATGTGGACACAACAAATTTGGACACTTCTGACTGTCCTGGAGATAACAAAGATGCAGCTGACTCAAACGATCTTTCAGCTGCTCATACTGATTCTGTGACTTCACAACATTCTTCAGCTGATGAATAGATGCTAGAGTTTGAAAGATTACCGGTGATAGTTTATTACAGCAATGTTGTACGGGAAAGCCATAGTATCTCCGTTTATAGAGAAACTGTAGCGCAGATGGTGATGACTGATGATATACGTCTTATGCTAATGATATGTTTATGTTTGGTGTATACATGTACTGTAAAATTATTGTTTGTTGCATCACACATGCATTAGTGAAATCAGTTGGCTGCCATTCTTTCGCACTTTACATGTATGCTGAATATTTAGACGTGGCACAACCAGTTTAATCTCATGCTGTCAGTTTCTTCTTTCATGGATCGGGCCCAATGAAAGTTCGTCCAATACAATTTTCATCAGTAGAAGAATCCCTTTTATCTGCAGATTTTTTTTTCTTCAGATAAGTCAATGATTCTGTTAGAGTGAGCACAGTAGTGCCAATTCAGGAAAATTCAGTTTTGTGCATGTCATCAGTGATTATATACACCAATGGGCATCAATTTTATTCAACTGTAAAATCCACTGGTTTGCAACTCTGTACTGTAGGCATGCTGACATAGAAGCATTACTTAACACACCTGAATAATTGATGCTATATGAACTCATACCAGTTTTCAGAACTGTAACATAATAGTGCTGATAATAATCAATGATTGTCCTTAAGCACCGGCAATACAATCATAGTACTATACAATACCACAGATACAAGATTGCATTCCTTATTGACATTCTTACTTTAGGTAATTGATCAAAGTTCTAAAATCAGAATGGTACATAGCATCTGAAACTAGAGTACCAATTGTGCCTAACAACTTCTGTTAATCTTCAAATGCTCTCAAATTGTGATTCACAGAGGTAAAGCCACCATCCACCATGAGGTTGAGCGCGCTGATGTACCTCGCTTCATCGCTTGCCAAGTAGAGCACTGCTTGAGCAACATCCTTAGGTAGCAGATCCACACCTTTCAGGTTTGCTTCACCACCAACAAAGGCGAAAAAGTCTTTCAGGGCATCATCCTTGCGCTCGCCCTGGGGCAGATACGGCATGGAGAGAGCCGTGGGCACTGCATAGGGAGATACGCAGTTCACGCGTATCCCATGCTTCCCCAATTCCCCAGCTACATTCTTGGTTAGACCCACCACAGCATGCTTGGTTGCTGTGTATGAATGAGGTCCCAACCCTCCAATGACACTAGAAACACTTCCCAATGAGATGATGGACCCCTTCTTATTGGGGATCATGATGCGCGCTGCGTGTTTCATCCCGTGGAATACACCAACTAAATTGATGTCGATTACCTTCCTGACTTCAGAAAAGTCGATGTTTCGGATATCTGTGATTTTCTGGCCTGTAAAGCCAGCATTGTTGACCATGATGTCAAGAGTACCAAACTTTTCAGCTGTTGCATCGACCGCTCGGGCTACATCCTCTTCCACCGAAACATCGCAGTGGACAAATAAGACATCTTGGTCACCTCCAAGGGAGTCCCGGAGCTTCTGACCTGCTTCATCTTGGATATCTGCAATACATACCTTTGCACCATGCTCTCTAAAGAGGCGAACAATTGCTTCACCAATACCTGAAGCACCACCGGTAACCAGCGCAACCTTGCTTTCCAACCTTTTCTCCAGAGGAAAGAACCCAAATCAAATTTAAAGAACTGATAAATATGCAAATTGTATTTAGTATCAGAATTACCAGTGTTTCATGAACCATTGATTAAATTATTTTTTTTAGACTGGTCACCGGGGGGGAGAGCTTCCCCACCTGAATTTTCATTGAAAGATAGGAGTACACGACTTTGGATTACATAGTGCGAAGGGGGGAGGAAAGAATTTGTTTCCAGGATTACAACGATCCTGTCAGCACAAACTAGTCTCTCTGCCCACAAGGTTGCATCCTCAATACATCTAGAAACTAGTCTATGCAGAGAGGGGGATTCTCCACGGAAGACAACATCATAACGATGATTCCATAATCCCCAGAGACAAAGCAAGAAGAAAACCTTGAAGTGTTTTGTTGGGAGGCGGCCATTTGGGCGCAGAGCATGGAGGTCGCTCGCGCTGGTGATAGTCTGCGGGATTTCAAGCTGATTCCAGAATGCAGTTGCGAAGGGGCAGAGGAAGGATAAGTGAGCCGCCGTTTTGATTAAATTCTATAGGCACTTCTACTAGTGAGTTGCGACAGCTAATTAACTTGAAAAGAACATTATCCTAGTTGAGGAAAGACCAGGCAAGCACCATTGCAAAGTTGTTTACTTGCTTGTTCGCGAACAATGTTTTCAGTTTTTTTCTCATAAAACCACCCAAACATGATTTTTAACCACATTATTTCTAACAAAATACAAGCTTAATCTTGCTAGCCTGAACTCTCACAATTCACAAATTACAGGACTTGACACACCAGCTAACATGTTATTGAAGGGAAAATTAGAAACTAATTCCCCCTTTGACTAACATTGAGATTCCCCATTCATCTTTTCAGTTCAAGAACATATGGGGTTTCCTCTGGGCAATCTGAAGAAGCCCCAAACACTCTCACACCAAAACCTATCAGTTGAGCAGCCCACTCTTACTGGGAAGGGGATAGGGACAGTCAGTCAGTCAGTCAGATCCCTCGATTTCGCCATGGCAAACGGCGAAAGCCCGGGACCTTCACCGGCGGCGACGCATCGGGGATTCGAGATCGAGTAAACTAACATACAGCGCCGCCGGTGAAGACCGTGCGAAAAAAAAAAAGAGGAGATCGGATTACGGCGACCAGAACCAGGTACGTACCGGGGAGCGGGGGAGGATGCGGCGGCGGCGGCGGCGGCGGACATCGTCTCGTCAGGTCTCTTGGTCACCGCCAAGATCGGAGCTCCGGCCGGTCAGGACAGGAGAAGTCGCCGGCGATGGCGAGGTGGAGCTCAAGCTCGAGCTGCTTGCACTAGTGTGTGTGTGCTGGGCTGCTACACTAGCCTGCATTATTATAGTGGAGCCCGGGTGCTTGAGTGGATCGCGATCAAAATGACCAAATGAGCAAAGAAGCTTCTTCAATTAATGAAAAACAATCAGAAGAAACGAACAACTGAGATCTGAGAGCGATAATACGGAATCTCAGGCTGGGGGCGGGGTCGTTCACAGCGATGCCATCAGCGTCTCAGGCTGGTACTGGAGCTTTTCCTTCTTTTTTTTGAAATTTTCTAATTTTGATAACAAACCTTTCCGGGTGTTGTCTTGCCACGTCACCTTAACTAACTGCGAGACGGGTTAGTAAGACTGAAAAATAAATTTTGGAATTGTTTGTTTTTAAAATTAAGAAGGTTTAAAAAAATTTAGAAAAAAACTCTTTAACATTGACTCCACGACGGCGACGGCGATCACTGCGGTGGGCGATGGCTGACGCTGACCGATGTATGATGTGTCTTCTCATTTGCAGATTACTACTTTAGTTATCCGGTGGCTACGCACTTGGGCCATCCTTCACAAACCGGGACTTCGGGATACTACTACGGTGGTATCGCAACGTTTGGACTAGGTGGGAGTTTTTTATCCATAAGCATGAGTCGCGATCTAGTCTATTGGTTGATAGCCAGGTTGATAGCGACTGGTTTCTGTTTTGTGATGAGAAGGTCTTCTTAGATCCTGTTTTTTTTGCTGTGTGCATTCTTTACAGAGACCGGGGTGGACTCTTAGAATGTATCATTTTGTAGTATTTAACTGAGTCCATTATCTTTAAAAAACGATGACATCACGACTACGTGAGCCCTCATTCCTGTGGGCCTCGCTTAGGCATATGGAGTAGGAACACCGAAAAGCCCAGCCCAACAGGCCTTTCAAGTCCATACATGCCCACCATTCGTCTCTCGCTCTCTCTATTTTAGTCGACGCCAGCGATGGCGGCCGCACCACGCGACGCGCCCAAACCCCCCACAAAAAAACCCTACCGCGGGCGGAGGGGAGGAGACGTCAGGGAGGAGACGCCATGGGGGTCGCGTGGTCGTCGCGAGCGGCGGCCAAGCTGGACGTGCGGGTCGCCGTCATCGGCGACCATGGCACCGGCAAGTCCAGCCTCGTCGCCACCATCGCCACCGGGAGGTTCCCCGATCAGGACGACGGCGTCGCCCGCGTCTTGCCACCCGCCCGCCTCCCCGTCGACTACTTCCCCGCCCGCGTCCCCGTCACCATCGTCGACACCTCCTCCAGGTACGTTCGCCGCCGTCGTCGCCTCTCTCCCCAAATCGAGCCGTCTTCGTCGCTTCTCTCCCCTAATCGTGTGTCATCGTCGTGTGTCGATTTGATTTGTGCTGGTGGTGGTGTTGATCGATTCGGCGTGTGATCGATGATCGCCGAGTGCCAGACGGCGGACGCGGTGGTGCTCACTTACGCGTGCGACAGGCCGAACACGTTGGAGCGGATCACCACATTCTGGCTCCCCAAGATCCGGCGCCTCCTGCAGGTTCTTCGTGTATATATGTGCGATTAATTGGATCGCGGCCGGCCGTCATGGTTGGTCGTTGGTTTTAATTTCTGGGCTAATTAACCGAGATCGATGTTGGTTTCGTGGTGTTTTCTGTTGTGATTTTCCTGTCACAGTCGAAGGTGCCGGTGATTCTCGCGGGGTGTAAGGTCGACCTAAGTGACAAGCAGCAGCAGGCCGGCCTTGAAAATGTGCTGGACTTCATCATGTGTACATTTAGAGAGGTTGAGATCTATCTGGAGTGCTCGGCGCTTCACCGGATAAAGGTAAAATGTGTGGTAAAGGCTGAGTTTAGTTCCAAACTTTTTTTTTTTCAAATTTTCAACTTTTCTATCACATCAAAACTTTCCTACACACACAAACTTTTAACTTTTCCGACACATCGTTCCAATTTCAACCAAACTTTTAATTTTAGCGTGAACTAAACACACCTAAAATTATATGTGATGATGCATTTTCAAACTTCAGTGTCGAGTCGCCGTTCGTTAATTCGTGATCAATTAATTAATCTGAATTGGTCAGGCGTGTTTATAATACTAGCTCATAAATTGCCATAATTTTTTTATGCATGGTTGGCCACGTAGTAAATTCAATTCATAACCGTATTGTCTATCTATTGTAGTTTGGACTTATAATTTACTGATGTATAGATTCTAGATATTGGGTAATAATTGTTGTTTTCACGTGATAAATGAATATTTGAATATTTGCAGGTGGATGAGGTCTTCTACTGTGCCCAAATGGCAGTGCTTCGCCCAACAACTCCTCTATTTGATAAAGCAACGCGATCTATAAAGCCACGGTGCATGATGGCTTTTCAACAGATATTTTCTCTTTATGACCGTGACAAGGATGGTGCAGTTAGTGATGCGGAGATGAATGCATTTCTGGTTTGTACTCACTTATACCAAATTATATAGTTGTTTTTATGGTCATGTAAAAATATACCGATTTGTTTGGTATTGTAAAATTGTGGAGTTATAAAAAATACCATCATATGTGCTATTGACATGTGTCTAGTCCCCACATGTCATCCTCACATATGATTTTATTTTGCAACCGAATTATCTTTAGGATGTCCTTTTTCAAATTATATATCCTAAAAATAAGACTGAGTATTTATATAGATAATAATCATTGGACTTCTTTTTTATTTTTGCTAATTTACAGGTTAGATGCTTCAAGGTCTCTCTCCAACCTGCTGAAATTGCAGATATGAAGAGGGTGGTTCAACAACATATGATTGGATGCGTGAATGATAATGGCCTTATTACCTTCATTGGATTCCTTTACCTTCATGTTGTTTTTATTGCGAAAGGATGAGAGGAAACTACATGGGCCGTACTTAGGAAGTTTGGTTATGATAACGAATTGGTTCATGGCTTTTCTTGGTGGCCACGGGCATTAGCCCTTCAGCGACGACCTATCTCCTAAAAAGAACATATTATTTAGGATTATTGTGTGCGCAATTTAATACTATACTCCCAAATGCAAAGTTAAACATTTTTACTTACAACTTTATTGGTATTGATGTTGTCTTCAATGGAATATCTTGCTCTCTCGCTAAGATTGTCTCTATACCCTCTGGGCGGAAAGGTTGGAAAGGTTTCTTAGCTAGAGTTGTAATAGATTCTTGGAAAGTAGTTATTTCTTCCTCTACATTCCAATGTAATTTAGTTAAAACAATTTGTACTTTCTCTCCCTTAATGATAATTCAGGTGGGGAAACTCTATCTCGGTGCAACTTCTAAAGAAACTATTTGTATTGATGGTATTTCTAATGCGAAGTTGGTACTGGTTAAAATTCAGCGCTGTTGAATGCTACTTGAATGGTTGAAAATGGTTGTCACAAAGTTTGCTGCATTTACATGTCTCTTGCTACTGCTTACTAGTAAAATCAGGAGCGTAGTTTTATTAATTTAGATAGGTAACTATAGAGATCAGTACTACCTGAATGACACACAGTTAAGGCAGTAACAAGTAAAGGAGCACAAATCATTTCACCAAAGATCACGTACTAGATCACCGCATAATTCACTTTGTGAGGTGGTAATGGGTCAAAGCCCACGGTTTATTTCACAATCTACGTACCTAGTTATTAAATATTTCTAGGCCAAAAATATATGAAAATTGAGCTCACTCTATTTTAGTCTAAGCTCTCAAATTTTATAGGCAAAAAGAAATGCCTATTACCATCGACAAGATAGCATCGACGGAGAAAGACAACACGGCTAGAGGCCAACATATATGTGGAAATATAAAGGCAAAATTGGTTATATAGCATCAAAAGTTCACGTTTTTGGTTAAATTGTGGCTATTAGGCTTGGGCAACTACCACTGTGGGTTAGAGTGCCTTCATCGCATGGCTTTAGATTTCCTGGTGTGTGGTTTAGGCCCTGTTTGTTTCAGCTTAAGATTATTGTAATCTAGATTATTGAGCCAGATTATTATAAACTAGATTATAATAAGCCGACATAGAATAAGTCCTGGTGTGTGGTTTAGGCCTTGTTTGTTTCAGCTTAAGATTATTGTAATCTAGATTATTGAGCCAGATTACTATAAACTAGATTATAATAAGCAGACATAGAATAAGCGGTTTGTTGTTTGTTTCTCTATATTATTAGCTGTTAGCTACCCAATAATCTAAAAAAAGCACGTTTAGAGTGGATTACCAGATTATAGTAATCTAGCTTATAGATTGTAATAATCTATCATAATAAGCTATATGTTTGTTTTAGCTTACTCATAATAATCCAGATTATAATAATCCTAAACTAAATCAAACAGGGCCTTAAAGAAGTTTATGTGAGGAGAGGATTGGAGAAGACCGAGAATAGACAAAACGAGACGATCCATTAGCATATAATTAATTAAAATATTAATTATTATTTGTAAAATGGATTAATACGATTTTTTAAAGCAATTTTCGTATAGTTTTTTTTTATATTAAAGGTACAGTTCAAAAGTTTGAGAAGCGTACGCGTGAAAAACTAAAGATCTCTTCTCCAAATGAAGGAAAATATACACCTGAGATCCCTTATCTTAGTCGCCGAGTTACAAAATTATCCTTGAACCGAAAACCAGATATATGGCATCCCTCAACTTAAAAACCTAGGTCACTCTAGATCCTTCGGTGTTTTTGTCCCCTATTTCACGTGACGTGACAACTGAATCAACGCGGGACCCACACGGGACCCACATGGTAGTGACTATTCCCCTCCTCTGTCCACCTCTCTTCCTCTCTTCTTGGTGACCAGCAATGGGGGAGGTCACACGATGGTTGACCAAAGTCAACTTGAAATTTCAGCGAAAGCTACGTCACGTAGGCACCACGACAGTTGTACCATCGAAAAATCTCGTTTTGTAACTCAGTGATTTCCCCGAACAAACGCTCCCCAGATGTGGTTGTGCTGATTTGCAGATGAGGGCCTTGCACTGTGCATAAAAGGCTCGCAGCATCACACAGTAACACGTAAGGCCTCCTTGTATGGGCCTCAATCATGGCCTATGTGAGAAAGCCCAACCCACACAGGGATCGAGTCTTCAATCAGACACACTCTCTTTCTTCCCTTCCAAGGCGAAGCAACCTGCAACCAAACTCCATATAAAGAGCGAGCCGGCCCCACTCTCTGACGCCTCCTCCCCACCCCCCACCCCCGCGCGACGCCACGCCACGCCACCACTCGCCGCAGCGCCGCGCCCAAATCCCCCAAAACCCTAGCGCGGCGAGCGGAGGGAGAGAGAGAGGAGGCGCGCCATGGCGGCTGCGGCGACAGCGGCGAACCTGGCCGGCAAGCAGGGCGTGCGGGTCGTCGTCATCGGCGACCCTGGCACCGGCAAGTCCAGCCTCGTCGTCTCCGTCGCCACCGAGGCCTTCCCGGAGAACGTCCCCCGCGTCATGCCGCCCACCCGCCTCCCCGCCGACTACTTCCCCGACCGCGTCCCAATCACCATCGTCGACACCTCCTCCAGGTCCGCTCACCTCCCTCGCGCTAGATCGCGCCGCGGCCCGCGATGAATCGGGGGTGTTCCCTTAGTCGGTAGATTTGTGGATGGACTCCGTTGCGATTTTGGCCTTGTTCGTCTCGGTGATTGATTCCATTTCTGTGTGGTTGATTCCATTTCTGTGTGGATGCAGCCCGGAGCACAGGGCGAAGCTGATCGCCGAGTGCCAGGCGGCGGACGCGGTGGTGCTCACGTACGCCTGCGATAGGCCCGCCACGCTGGAGCGGCTCAGCACATTCTGGCTCCCCGAGCTCCGCCGCCTCCAGGTTCGTGGCGTAGGATTTGGATCGGTCGTAATGGGTGGTTTCATGGGCGGTCCGATGTGATCTCGTGTTGCTTGCTGTTTGCCTATCACAGTTAAAGGCACCTGTGATTGTCGTGGGGTGTAAGCTGGACCTTAGGGACGAGCAGCAGGTCAGCCTTGAGCAGGTGATGGCGCCCATCATGCAGACATTCAGAGAGATCGAGACCTGCATTGAGTGCTCTGCGCTTCGCCAGATCCAGGTTAAATGCGTGCACTCAATAGTTCTTTGTTGATTACAACTTGTTGGTCAATCTGAATTGGGCATGCTCAAAATACTAGCCCAATTGCCATCCTTTTGTTGATTACAACTTGTTGGTCAATCTGAATTGGGCATGCTCAAAATACTAGCCCAATTGCCATCCTTTTATGGTTGACTACATAGTCCATAACCAGATCCTTATGTTGTTTTATTCTGAAAATAAATTTAGGGCATGTTTATATGATGGGTTATGAGATATGAGATTGGGAAATGGAAATGAGTGGATGGTTAAGATGAAATGTGGTGGCAAAAACTGATGGCTAAGATTGAAAATTATCCTTTGAATGGTGGGATACAATTTCCCAAACCCATAAAAAATGCCCTTAGTTGATCATGCATCTATTGTACTATGCACTTGATAATCTTAATTGGTGCCCTACTAAGATAGAATTCCAGATATTGTGCTAGGTTTGGGTTAACTAGAATATAATTTATGAATGCTTTCAGGTTCCCGAGGTCTTCTACTATGCCCAGAAGGCGGTGCTTCACCCAACAGCACCTCTATTTGATCAAGAGGCGCAATCTCTAAAGCCACGGTGTGTGAGGGCTTTGAAGCGGATTTTTATTCTATGTGACCATGACAGGGATGGAGCACTCAGTGATGTGGAGCTCAATGACTTTCAGGTTTGTATTCACTTAGTCTACCTTGCTTTCTGCTCTAGTGCTTTTTATTGCCATTCTGTTATTTATGGTGTTGATTAGAACCTCTTCTGGTGCTTTATAGGTCAAATGCTTCAATGCTCCTCTCCAGCCTACTGAAATTGCAGGCGTGAAGAGAGTGGTTCAAGAGAAGATGCCTGAAGGCGTGAATGACAATGGCCTTACCTTGACTGGATTCCTTTTTCTTCATGCTCTTTTTATTGAGAAAGGACGACTAGAAACTACATGGACTGTCCTAAGGAAGTTTGGTTATGATAATGAAATCAAGCTTAGAGATGACCTTATTCCAACAATTAAACGAGCGCCCGATCAAGTAATGTGTTGCTCAGTGCTTTTACTATTCAAATTTTATTTCATGTTGAAGCTAGTTATTTTTATATGTGCTTTTTTGTTATGTATGCTGTTTAGTACCCATGATATGCGAGTTGCTGTTCCTTCATATATTAAAACTGCCTGTCAGATGTTTCTTCAACCATAGTGTTCTCTATAGCATTACTATTCCAGCAAGTGCAGAAATTGCTCTTTTGGTGTTCTGTTTGTTCTTTTGTTTCTTGCAATGTTTGATATCTTCATTGCTAACATTACTAGGTTACTACTGTAGTAGAATAGCTCTACTCTTAGGAACCACTAAGGCAGTTTCTTGAATTGTTGATTCCAATAGTATGTTGGTTGTTGTTTAACATCAGCAAGCATTTATCTGCGGTATTTATCATACTTACTTTTTATATAAAATTTAGTGTCAATATCAACTTTTCTCCTTACAGACCCTGGAGTTGACAGGTCAAGCCATTGATTTCTTGAGAGGAATTTTCAATATGTTTGACACAGATAATGTAAGTTTAACGCATTGGTGCACAGTTATTTTACTGTAATGTGAATGCTAGTCAACTTCTTTTTTCTGGTAGTTTTATTTTACTGAAAATCATGGTTTTTATTGATCAATTGAAAATGCTTTTTGCATCATGTCTAGGATGATGCTTTGCTACCTGCTGAGCTGGATGATCTTTTTTCCACTGCACCTGAAAAGTAAGTTGATGGAAGGTTCCTGTCCTGTTTTGGGTTGACGCTGTAATTGTAAAGTAAATGGTTATCATTATAGAATATCGATAATAAAAAATGTCATGTAACCCTGTATTCATATTTCCTAGAGAATTTAATGGAATGCATTTTATATGCTTGCATTTTCTTACTGATACTCTTTTCTTGATATTTCAGCCCATGGTCTAATAATCCATATGTGGACTGTGCTGAAAGGAATGTCTTGGGTGGGTTGTCCCTTGAAGGATTTCTCTCCAAGGTAGTCTCTCAAACTAAGCATGCTGCTATGCTGATAACACTGTGTCAATTGCAGCGATAGCACTATCTAGAACTAAGCATGCTGCATTGGTGTTAGATTTTCTTATTATACTATCTTCCTTTGTTGATGAACTATTCTGCAATTGCAGTGGGCTCTTATGACACTTCTAGATCCAGCAAATAGTTTTGCCAACCTTATATATGTTGGCTATTCGGGTGA